ATGCAATGGGATGTTAGCCTTAAAAAGGAGGAAATTCTTCCATTTGCAATGACACAGATGAACTTGGAGGGCATTATACTAACTTTGACCTTATAGAAGCAGAGTGTGTAACAGTGGTTGCCAGGGTTTGGAGGATGGGACAAGGGGTGATGTCATTTAACTTGCTTTATGTTACCCACAGCTAATTGGGATAGGGACACTGCATTGTAGTTTGAGGTGAGTGATCAAATGCCACTTGTCTAGTATATACCAGCCATTACCCTTCTCTGGGGTATGGTGTTCTTGTTACAGGCTAAATTGTATGCTCTAAAATACATATATTGAATTCCCAACCCTAATTATCTCAGAATGTAAATGTATTTGAAGATAAGGTCTTTAAAGAGAGGTCATGAAATGAAGTCCCTAATTCATTATCACTGGTGTCCTTATAAGAAGCAGATATTTGGATACAGACAAGTATGAACACAGAGGAAAGACCATGTGAAAAAACAAGCCAAGAAGAGAGGCTTCGGAATGAAACCAACACTGCTGACACCTTGATCTTGGACTTCTGGAACTATGGGACAATAAATATCTGTTTTTTAAGCCTCTTGGTCTATGGTACTTTGTGTTGGCAGCTTTATCTGTCCACCCCTTATCTGTACAAGAGAGTGGGACCAGGGCATTGAGGCCTCTCTGGTTTCGACAGGCCTTGCCTATCTGGACTTTCCTTGAAACTTGCATCTGTCTGGGGGACCCCTATGGGCAGGTAATAGATCTGAAGTGCCTGGGTGGAAGCTGTCCTGTTTGGTGCCCTGTGTACTGAGTGAGGGAGGCAGTGACTGTGATCAGAGATTAGGGAGCCCTGGGGAGGAATGGGAAACCCATTGTATAAATTGTGAAGTTTTGCCCAGTGTGAAGGGTGATTTTTGTGCTATTGAGATGCTAGTGACTAATGAAGATGAAATACAGCTTTGGGGTTAAGCTCAACTTACTCTGCTTTGGAGTCAGACAGATTCTGGTTCCAATTTTGCATTAGTCATTAACACTCTGTTCTGGTTATTTCCCATATTAAAGCCAACGAAATCATCCCATTTCTAGCTTATCCCCACATTCCCCACTGGCTGCCACTTCCTGTTTCTGCTCTTTTTACAAGAAATGTCAAAAGGATTGTGTGTGGTTACTTTCATTCTCTACCCTTGCTGCCTGGATGCTGCTCCTCTACTCCTCTAAGGCTGCTCTTGTCAAGCTCTGCCATCATGTCCTGTGGCTTTGTCCCTAGGTCCCTTGTGGCTTTGTTGCCCTTATCTTTTATAATGTCTCAGCAACCTGAAGCTCAGTTTACTCCCTTTTACTCGAAATGCTTTCTTCACTTGGCTTCCCCGACAGACATCGCCCCTTCTGGATTTTTATCTTATTATCCCTTGGCCTCCTTCTCAAGTTCCTTTTCTGACTCCCACTCGTTTCTCTCAAGTTTTAAATGGAGGAGTGTCTCAACACAATTTGGATGTTTGCTCTTGATCTGTGTTCTTTCTTTTAGTGACTACATGAAATCCCATGGCTGAGAAGCATCGTCCCATACAGATGACTTCTCAGTCAGTGTCTTCAGTCTGAATTTGCTCTAAAGCCCCAGGCTCACACGTACCACTGCTAATGGCAGCCTCTTGACATGTCTAACTCATCAAAAATAGAATTTTGACATTTTTTCTTCCAGCCACAGTGGATAATTCTATATATTCCAATGTGCCAAACACATTTGGAGTTCTGGGGCCATTGCATTTGTGGGTCATTCTGGAAATTTCTTCTTGCTGATATTTACTTATTGACCTAACTTCTTATTGTTCAGGTCTCAGATCATGTCACCCCTTCTGAGAGGACTGCTGGTTGTGCAGCCTAAAGTAGCTTCCTAGATTCTATCACTTAATTCTGTGCACACTGCTCTATCCAGGCTACTGCATCACCCCTTTGACCAGAAGGAGATGCGGAAGTTGAGGGACAAGTCTGAGGCTCAGCATGACAGGCTGAGGAAATAGAGCAGGGGAGGGACAGCTTGGCAACAGGAGGATTAACTAAAGATCTGAACTCTGACCCATGGCAACTGCAGCCAGGGTTGCTCTTAGGGTGCACATGGCCAGTTAATATTTTTTTGTGGTGTCTTTTTCTATAACAGATTAGCAGTTTGAACCACATAAAATTAGCCTGTTAGCTCCACTTGACCCTGTGATGAAAATTCTTGCTAGACCACCCTTATGGCACCATGGTCTGGCCCCTGTGCCTCAGCATGGCACTACGAATACGAGTTCTTTATCTCCTTGGGGCATATGGTTAACCCTGTGCATGGAGGAGAGGGCCAGAATACACTCTGAAGGGGAGAAACGGACTAGGATCTTGTGGGACAGGGGCTGGGCCTGGGACACCTTACCATGTGGGAACTGCTGCACCTGCCAATCCTGGGAGGACTCTTTCTGGCCATTCCTGGTGGTACTCTGTTGGGCAGGGGGTGGGCGCTTCAAAGCAAAGTATTCCCATGAAGGGTCCTGCTAGCTTGGGCCTGAGGGCTGTCCGGCCTGCAGCCTGCCTCCACCACAGACTCCTGGAATGCCGGTGGTCAGATACCACCCACGCAGGATAGGGAGCAGACATTGAATAATCTCAAAGAGAGGACTCTTAGATTCTTGCTCTTGAGGGCTCCTCAGTGAAATGGCTGGTTCTTCATCTAGTCACCTTAGAGTGAAGCCCACCCCTCAAGGAAGCCCTGTCTACGCACTCTGAGTCTCCCACTCAGATACGTACTTTTTCTCTTGAATATGAGCTAACAGTCAGCAAACATCAGGTATCTGAGGAAAGCCTCCAACATGAATGACAGGCACCAAATAAAACAAACTTTAAAAAAAAACCCAAAAAGCCAAAAAAAAAAAAATAAATATGAAATAGACCTAAATCAGAATATGGGGAAGAAAAAGCTCTAAAACCCTTAGAGGTGGGCTATTGCATTCATGAAACAAGTATAGGGTGTAATGAAGCAAAAAGGAACAACCAAAGAATAAGAAAGAGCCCTTGGGAGTTACAAATGCAATAGCTGAAATAAAAAATTCAGTAGGAGGTGTGGAAGATAAAGTCAGTGAAATCAACCAGGAACTAGAGCCTAAAAGACAAGGGATGGAAAATAGAGAAATGATAAGGCACTTAAAGGATCAACTCAAGAAGTCTTGTTTTTGATGAGTAGGAGTTCTAGAAAGCAAAAAGAGAAATGAGAGTAGAAGAAATTATCAAAGAAATCCTAAGCCAAGATGTATTAGACTGGAAGGACCTGAGGCTTCAGGGTGAGAGCACCTTGAGTGCCCAGTAGAATTGATGAAAGAAAATCTAAACCAAGGCACATAATTTAAAGTTCATAATATCAGTGAAAAAAAAATTATTGTCTTACATAGGGGAATGAGAATACTAGTTGCAGTACTGGATGCTAGAAGGCAAGAAGGTAAGAAGATACAGCCTTCCAAATTGTACAAGAAGTGAGTGTTAATCAAATTCTATAAACTCAGCTAAATTAGCAGATACATGTGAGGGTAAAATATAGATGTTTTCAGACAAGACTAAGAAAGTGTTTCTTTATGCATCCTTATCTGAGAAATACTTTAAGCTGTGTACCTACAAAATGAGGGAGTGGAAAAAAAGAAAACAGAGCAAAAAAAAAAAAAAAGAATAGTAAGGGCTTTGACTCAGGGAAAGTTGAGCGGTTAGGGTGGTAGATGGATGGACAGGAGACCTAGACAGCACTCATTGAGATCAGAGAAGAAATGAGATAAGATGGTGTCTGAGGGCAGGAGTGTCTCTTGGAAAAAGATAACTGCTGTATTATCTGTTATAATAAAAAGCACTTGGTTAAACACAGAGGAAGATTTTCTACAGAAATTAAAGAAGTTTGGGGAAAGTTAATATCCAGCTTCAACATAAAACAATTATTAATTCAGGAAAAATATTTGAAAGAAAAAGCCATCATTCACCATATTTCATTAAACTTAAGGTGCCATTAATTATAAGATGTATCATTATTTTAAGAAAAAAGGAAAAAAACTGTTGCTTATTGAAAAGGCAAGTTTTACCATGCCAATATTTCAGAGACCTACTGTAGAAAGTTAAAAAATGTATTTGTTGGAATTGGTGGAAATATCACCCTATTTCGTTTTGCAGTGAACCATTTTTACACTGATTACTGATTTAACCACAAATTGTGATGTAAGTTTATTGTGCAGATGAGGAGAGGAGAAGTATGGGAGTGTACCTGTTTGGAAAATATAAGTGCCAAATACTCATGTATCAAAGAAAGACTGTAGTTAATGTCTAGAATTGATAAATCAAGAATTAGCAGCATTATTCAGACATAGATGTAAGTACATGAAGGAACAGCTTAGATAGTTGAAAGGTGTCCTTTGGGCATGGACTAGGGTAAAGTCAGTTGTGACCAAGTGATTTGTAGAATTGCTGTTTTTTATAAGAAGTCTTGGCTTATAATGCATGTTTAGCATATGTATGTTACTTTGATGTAAACAGGTGGAGGAAAACACAGGTACACACAACCCTTCTGGAGCTTGAAAATGGGACAAAAATTAGAGATTTGGGGCCCCAAACCTGCTCTTTCTTTGAAATATCTTATCTGGACATAAGGTTAAGACATGATCATATGCAGCTTAATCGGCCTCTAGGAAGACAAAGTGGCCCCTCTCTCCCTCCCCCAGAATGGAAGTGTGGCCAAGGATGGCCCCGTGTCTGCTTATCTTTCCACAAAGCTTGAGCTTACAAACTGTTCCACATATTTCAACCCATTTGACCCCTGCCATAGCCTGATTAGGTGTAACTATTGCCATTTTAAGTGTGTTGACACTGAGGCTGGAGTGGCCACAGCTGGCCCACCCACCCCACAACAGCTCAGCTGTTCTCTGCTGCAGAATCACAGAGGCACTTCTCTTCCCTTAGGGAGTGTCACTGTCACCTAATGTTATTCTGTTCCCACTATATTTTAGAAGAAAGAGGAAGAGGAGCGGAAGCGAGGAGAAGAGCAGATTCGTCTCCAGGAAGAGCAGAGAGCAAAGGAACTCTACTGGACGCTGAAGCAGGCCCAGCTGCAGAGCCAAGCCAGTGAGAAGGAGGAGCGTGAGTGGGAAGAACAGTGTGAGTAGAGCTTGGTCCTCAGAATCCAGAGACCAGACTGCCTTTCCCACTCGCCTACTTTCTGCTTGTTTTTCTGCTCAGCCATCATCATTCCAGTTCACTCACTCAGCCCAGAAGCCTTTACCGAAGGCCAGCCATGTGCCTGGTCCTGTTAAGGACACAGAGGGTAAGGGCTGCACCCTCAAGGAGCTTACATGCTTGTAGGGGAGATTTCTTACACTAAAATAGGAAACCCTACATTTCCTGAGTTAGCAATAATTTTCTGGCTCTGTGCCAAGCCCTGGGGATCCAGAGGGAAGGATCATGGTGCTTATCTTGGAAGAACTCACCAGGCAGTCAGGGACAGACACACAGGCTAAGGGCTCTTAGTGACAGTGTCCCATGCAGCACTGTAAAGTGAAGGTTGATGGTAATATAGCAATAGCTGAGGCACAGAGGCTGAGGAGGATGCACTAGACAAAGTGTCCAGCATGTGTAAAAGCACGGTGACAGGGGAATGTGATTGCAGTACCCAGCATGTGTGAAGGAATGGTGAGAAAGGGATGTAGTGTGCCTAAGAAGCCAGAGATGTATGGGGTGGCTATAGAGCTTGGAGAGTGTCATTGAGGTGGTGAGAAAGGGAAGGTGGAGCCAGGCCAGAAGGGTGGTTTTTTTTTTTTTTATTAAAGATTTTATTTATTTATCTTTAGAGAAAGGGAAAGGGATGAAGGAAGAGAAACATCGATGTGTGAGAAAAACATCAATCAGTTGCTTCTCTCACGACAGCAGCCAAAGACCTGACCTGCAACCCAGGCATGTGCCCTGACTGGGAATTAAAAAGGCGACCTTTTTCTTTGCAAGATAACTACAACCCACTGAGACCCACCGGTCAGGACAGAAGGGTAGTGTTTTAATGTATACTCAGGCTGGCTTTAATCAGGTTTGGTAAAACATTCAGACATGGAAATGACTGTCTTACAGGAAGAAGTTTTTACTCCTGGATTCCTAGAAGCCTCAGAGAGCAGGCACAACACTCAGGGCCACACTGAGAAGCACCAGACTCAGTCAGGAGGCAGAGGGAGTGAAGGGAAAATGTGGGCGAGAGCCTTTCCTGTGATTTCTGTGGGAAAGGTAAGGCAGAGTAGGGTAAGCAGGCTTATGTTTGAATAGTTTGAATAATTTCAGCAAGCTTTAGGATACAGATGTTGCCCCTAGTTATTGGATACCTGGCCCTGGGGTGATTAGGGCAGGTGGATAGTAACCCAGAGTGTGAGAACTAGGTAAAGGAAGTGATTGGGATATGGGCTTTGGATCGGTTGATTTGCATATGGAAGGCACACTTGTATAGCAGTCCTTTACAATCTTAAGGACTTGGGGCGCTCTGGAAGGAGCAATCTCTAGGATCAGCAAGGTCCCAGATGGCAAAACATAAGAAGTACACAAAATCAAAAGGTATGTAACGTGGGTGGTGGACTGTGAGTAACATGATTGAGCCTGGGTTTGGGAATGAGAGAAGGAGGCTGCTGCAACAGTGCATTTCAGACGTGACTGGAACCAAGGCTACAGCAGGGAAAGCGGAGATGTGAGGTGACTTCCACTTCCAGCCCCTGGGCCCTCAGCCTTTCTTAACCATACATCAGATTCAATAGACAGATTTCCAAAAAAATGAAATAATAATTCACACAACATAAAATTCATCCCTTTAATATGTACATTTCCGTGGTTTTTAGTCTACCTACAAAGTTGTACAACCATCACCACTATCTAATTCCAGAACATTTTCATTGCTACTGAAAGACACTGTGAACCCACAGGTACTCCTTCCCCTGCCACGCTCCTGGAAATCACAAATCTAATTCCTGTCTCTATCGATTTGCCTATCTGTAATGGATATTTCACAGAAATAGAATAATATATTACGTGGCCTTTTGTGTCTTCTTTCATTTAGTATGTTTTCAAGGTCCTCATGTTATGCATGCATGACCACTTCTTTTTTTTTATGGCTGAATAAAATTGTAATGTATGCATATATCTTATTTTTGTTTATCCATTTGTAAGTTGATAGACCTTTGGGTTGTTTCCACTTTTTGGCTGTTATGAATAATGTTGCTTTGCTCATTTGTGGGTTTTTGTGTGAACATATATTTTCAGATCTCTTGGGTATATACCTAGGAATGGAATTTCTGGGTCACATAGTAACTCTGTTTAACACTTTGAGGAACTGCTGTACTGTTTTCCACAGTGACTGCACCATTTTACATTTCCACAAGCAGTATATGAGTTTCAGTTTTCTTCACATTCTTGCCAACACTTACTATCTTTTGTTATTTTGATAATAGACATCCTACTAAATACTGAGGTGCTATCTGATTGTGGTTTTGATTTGCATTTCCCTGGTGATTAAAGATGTTGAGCACCTTTTCATATACCTATTGGCCAGCAGTATGTCTTTTTTGAGTAAATGTCTACTTAGGTCCTTGCAGATTTTTAAATTAGGGTATTTGATTTTTGCTTTTGAATTCCTATATATTTTGGATATTAACCCCTTTTTGGATATATGGTTGGCAGATATTTACTCTCATGCCATAGGTTGCCTTTTCATTTTGTTGATTGTTTCTTTTGCTGTGCAGTAATGTTTTAATTTGCTGTATTTTTTTTGATTTAATAAGGATTTATTTTTCAAAATGTACAGCTGGGGGGACCTGTTCATGCATCTTCACCAGCAGCTGGGGCATCCCTGCCTTTGGTGTTTCTGGTGTAAACTATTTGAGCTCTGTGCTTTGAAATGAGTTTAATAAGTCTTTTACTAAGGAGCACCTGAAGGGCTGCCCTGGCCAATGAGCCTTGGTTCTTTAGTCTTTTGGAGACAACAGCAGGGGTTATAAGCTTATAGTTGGGAATTTCCTTACAGAGTTTGTAATATATTGCTTTGTTAAATAAGACTAGGTTATTGAGCTTGTCCTAAAGTTTGCCTTTGGACCACTTCTTCTTTTTGGCCTTGTTCCCAGATTTGTCCACTGGGTCTTTGCCTTCCTGGCTGACTTTCTGAGGGCATCTTTCTTCTTCTTGTCCTTGGGTGGCATAACAAAACTTGAAGAACAGCTGGCACTACTGCTACCTCGCTAAGATGTTGGACCAAAAAAAGAAAAAAAGGTACTTGTTTATTTTTGCTTTTGGTGTCAAAAAAAAATTGCTAAGTTCAATGTCAAGGAAATTTCCCTCTGTGTTTTCTTCCAGGAGTTTTTTACAGTTTCAGGCCTTACATTTAAATCTTTAATCCATTTTGAGTTGATTTTTGTGTATGGTATGAGAGAGGGTTCAATTTCATTCTTTTGCATGTGGATATCCAGTTTTACCAACACCATTTATTGAACAAATTATATTTTCTTTATTAAAGTTTAGGTGATGGTATATGCATGAGTTTATTTCCAGACTCTCTATTCTGTTTCATTGGTCTACATGTCTGTTTTTATGCCAGTACCATAGTGTTTTGTTTACTATAGCTTTATAATATTATTTGAAATCAAGAGGTGAGGTGCCTCCAGCTTTGTTCTTCTTGATCAAGATTGCTTTAGTATTCAGAATCTTTTGTGTGTCCATGGAGATTTAGAGATTGTTTTAGTGAAAAATGCCATTGGAATTTTGACAGGGATTGCATCAAATCTGTATGTCACTTTGAGGAGTATGCATATTTTAACAATATTAATTATTCCAATCTGCGAACACAGGATATCTTTACATTTATTTGTGCCTTCAATATCTGTCATCAGTGTCTTACAGTTTTCAACGTACAGGTCTTTCACTTCTTTGGTTAAATTTATTTCTAAGTATTTACTTCTTTTTAATGCTTTTGTAAATGAGGTTGTTTTCTTAATTTCTTTTTGGCATAGTTTGTTGTTAGTGAATAGAAAGACAACTGATTTTTTTTATTCCAATTTTATTGATTTTGTATCCTGCAACTTTACTAAATTTGTTTATTCTAACAATTTTTTTTTTGTGTGAAATCTGTAGGGTTTTTTTTTTTTTATATTTAAGATTATACCATCTGCAAACAGACAATTTTACTTCTATTTTCTGATTTGGATACATTTTATTTCTTTTTCTTTTTTAACTGTTCTGTCTAGGACTTCCAGCATCATGTTAAATAAAAGTTGTAAGAGTGGGCATTCTTGTCCTCTTTCTGAGTTTAGAGGAAAAGCTTTTACTCTTTTACCATTGAGTATCATGTTATTGGTGAGCTTGCCATATATGGCTTTTATTTTTCTTTACCTAATTTGTTGAGAGGTTTTATCATGTTGAATTTTGTCAAATGGTATTCATGCATCTATTGAGATGATAACATGATTTATATTCTTCATTTTGTTAATGTGTTGTGTCACATTGATTGATTTGCCTATGTTGAGCCATCCTTGCAGCCCAGGAATAAATCTCATTTGCTTATAGTATGTAATTTTTCTAATGTAGTGTTGACTTTTATTTGCTAATATTTTGTTAAGGATTTTTTTCATCTATGTTTATCAAGGATATTGACTAGTATTTTTTTCTTATATTGTTTCTATTTGGCTTTGGTATAAGGGCAATCCTGGCCTACTAAATGAGTTCGGAAGTGTTCCCTCCTCTTCAATTTTTTGGAAAAGTTTGAGAAGGATGTTTAAATGTTCAGTAGATTTCACTAGTGAAGCCATATGGTCCTGGAGTTTTCTGTCTTGGGAGAATTTTGATTACTGATTCAGCTTTCTCACTAGTAATTACTCTGTTCTGATTTTCTGTTTTTTCATGATACAGTCTTGGTAGGTTGTTTGTTTCTAGAAATGTGTCCATTTCTTGTAGGTTTTCTGATTTGTTGGTGAATAATTGTTCATAGTTGTTTCTTATAATCCTTAGTGTTTTTATGGTATCAGTTGTAGTTTCCTCTTTCATTTTTGATTTTATTTATTTGCATCCTCTCTCTTTTTTCCTTATTAGTCTGACTGAAAGTTTTTCAGTTTTATCCATCTTTTCAAAAAAAGGTCTTAGTTTTG